CCCATCCTCAAATCACCAACCTCACCTTTAGCCAATTCTACCTAAAAACCAAATATACAAAAACCATCAAAATACTCAAGACATCAGCAACCCATACTCTCCTCAAAACATATATACATTTATAACTTAACCATCAGAATACTCAGAACTCAGTATCCCATGCTCCCAACTTAAAAACTTCAGATCATCAAAATATTGTCTACCACATTTTTTACTTAAAAAAGCTACTCACTGGATGAAGCTTCACCATACTTCTAAATCAAACCATAAATTTTTGCACAACTTTCCATCCTCACATCAACACCCCTTTGTCAATCAAGCCTAAAACAAATGTACAATAACAAACAAAATAGTCAAAACTCAGAATCCCATGCTCACCTCAAAACTAAGATACATTATAAAATATCACAGCATTACTAAATCCAAAAGTTGAAAATAGCCATACTAGCCGCCCATACCAAAGATAACCCCACAATATCTTCATTCTTCACCCAAAATCACAGATAATCACTTCTCAAAAATCTCATGGAACCCGTAAACCTGAAAAGAGGTTCTTTAGCCATATGATATTTCATCATATTCCCCCATTATAGAATCTTTAACACATCCTAATAGACAGTTCTTGACTCTTCCACTAATACTCAAAAAATTCATTATTGCCCTTGAAACTTAAACTCTTCACAACAGACACATCCAATGATCACTAATTCCCTATAGTGAAAATAGCACTTCTGCTAGTGATACTCAGCAGTAACAAGGCCACACATAGTAGCTAAAATAGCACTTCTCAACCTTTTCTCATTTACAAGTAACTCAGCTAAAAGCTTTAATCCCCTATGCAAACATAACCTAAATGATAAGTAGACTTCATGTGCAACAGTAACATCACTCACTGATATTTACTATGAAAAACTTATCACCATATTATTCACCATTCTTCTTGATTATATTTAACAACCTAAAGCACTAGAAAATCCTCCAGGGACAGAAATACACTCCGAAGCCATTAATGAGTCAACCGTCCAATTCAGAAATATATTCAAGTCCTAAATCCCAAAACATCATTCACAGAAAAGGGAAAAACCTTTCAGGAGAAAATAAACTCTAAGTCAAAACACTAGTCAAATAGTCCTCCAACAAAATCATAAGCATTTCCTATTCCTAAATTTCAAACACCATCCATGTAAAAAGGGGGGAACCTAAATTGACTAACACCTCTAGATCTCACTGCATTGTAATGATTAGATAATATCAAAATCAAAAGGAAAGAAAAAAATATATAACAGATCACCTTATTTTACAAGGAGAATTTGAAACCATACAAAAGTTTAAAATTTTGAGATCTGATCACGTCTGAAAAGTAGATAAAAAGACAAAAATCCAATATGGCTTACTTATAAGCACAAATATATGGAACCTACTAAAACTTTAAAACGCTTATTCTTTATAGCACACTTTTAAACACCTTCCCACCTAAAAGAAGAGCATAGAAATACGAAAATACTATTTACAAAATCATGGGCTTCAACAAGCAAGTATTATAACAATCATATTCAGCTGTAAGCCTTCTCTATAACCTGGTACAAGATTTAAAAAATGATATAAAAGTTAAGGAACTAATAAACCAAACAATAGTTTCTTTAACCTCAGAAGGTATTGTCATGCTCCCCTACCAGACTAGTTCTTAACAGACTACAAGCTAGTTTAATGACAAATGAGATGTGATGAGATGAGAAGAAGAAAAGGGCAAAGTAAAAAATTACTTCAAACATCAGATTTGAAACCCTTCAAAATTTGAAAGATTTCGGCCATAAAAAAAGAGGAAAAAATAAAACAAGTTCCAGAATCAGCCATAACTTGTAAGTAACAACACTTCAGTAAATGATTTAAGTTTAATAAAAAGTATAAAAAGCATAAAATCACTTTGTTTACAATTTCAATGGCCTTAAACTTGTAAGCAATTTCATAAAATCTTACAAAAAACGCTTCCTCTGAGATTCAGGAGTTGATAAACCAACCAAAAGAGAGTTACTTTGCTAGATTAGGTACTGTCATATTCCCCTAATACTCCTTTGTCCTTAACACAACTTCCCATCCTCAAATCACCAACCCTCACCTTTAGCCAACTATACATAAAAACCAAATACACAAGAGCCATCAAAATACTCAGACACAGCAATCCATACTCTACTCAAAACATATATACATTTATAATTTAACCATCAGAATACTCAAAACTCGGTATCCCATGCTCCCAACTTAGATAATTTAGATCATCAAATAATGTCTACCACAATTTTTACATAAAAAAGCTACTCACTAAATGAAGCTTCACCATACTTCTAAACTACCATAAATTTTTGCACAACTTTCTATCCTCAAATCAACACCCCTTATCAATCAAGCCTAAAACAAATGTACAATAACGAACAAAATAGTCAATACTCGGAATCCCATTCACACCTCAAAACTAATATACTTCATAAAATATCACAGCATTACTAAATCCACAAGTTGAAAATAGCCATACTAGACCATACCAAAGACAGCAAGGCTATATACACAACAACTATCACTTCCAAAACCTATGCAAACTCGCAACAATAAACCAATGCTTTTAAAACATCAAAACCACGAAACAATCTAAATCACCAAAATCCACTTCAAACTCTTGTAAGAGTGGGAAAACCAGAACTATTCTATGAACCCATTTCGTATGCAACTACTATGCAAGAGGTCAATTAAACAACAAAAAAAACTTCGAGTAAAACCCCCAAAAAAGCATCTTTTAACTCCGACAAGTTCTATAGTAAATACTCACTAGAAAAAAAATAAATAAATAAACCCAAAAATTTAGCCTTCCAATTCCAAAATATTCCAAAAGTATACCCCCACAATATCTTCTTCATTCTTCACCCAAAAACACAAGATGATCACTACTCGGAAATCTCATATCATTAAGTAAGGTACTTGTATATAATTGATGGATTAATCAACAACTTAATCAATCAACCAAACAGAATTTTTTTACAAAAAAAGCAATAAATCTGAACACTGAATCGCAACAAAAAAAACAAAAAAAAAAGAGAGATTTTTAATTACCCCTCTGTGACTCCCGGTTCTTCATCATCTTCATCACCGCCATAAAACCCAGTTAATGTACCGTAATCGACTCCGATACAACCGTCATACTCCGTCTCAAGGAGAAATTACCCCTGTTTTAAGACTAATTAATAGTATTTCCTAAAAAAAAGACTAATTAATAGTAATACTGTTTAGTTCCCTTAACAAGTGACAATTTTGAACTCCTCAAACAACTTATCATCTTCATCATCATAGTCATCAACACCAAAAATTCTACTAATAAACCAAAATCACGTCCGTTTAAACTGCCGAACTCCGATCTAAAACAGTAACCAACACTATTTAGTTGCTAAAACAAGTGAAAATGCTAAAAATGGAAACTTTTTTCTCCCCAAAATGAAGATTTTTGGTGTAATCGGAGAAAATTTCAAGAATTATAAGACGAACGAAGATAATCTAGGGTTAAGGTTAGGGTTTTGATCGGAAATGTTGATTTTCAGGGAAGATTGAGAAGAGAGAGACGTTGTTGATATGGCGGTAAATGGTTTCGCGGTAAACGCGTGAAATGTTGTGGAGGTTTGCAGATTGCAACGGTCCTTTTTTCTTTTATAGGGTTCCATGATGTTTTTTCTTTTTTTCTTTTTTTTGGAAAAGGATGATGTTTTTTCTTCAAAGGGAAGATGAGGAAATTGAAGTTCTTGACAAAAGTATAATATTTTAGGGTAAAAATGGATCAAGTCGTTAACACTAGTAGAGTTTTAACACTAAAATTGATAATGGTATTAACAATTTTATCTTTTTTTTAATCAAAAATTTAACAATTTTGGCCATTAATAAATACTTCCTCTGTTCCAATAATATTGCAACAAGGGTGAAATTACGCATCATAAATCACATTTTACAAGTTATTACAAGTTAAATATTTATAATTGTGTAAGAGTACAAATTATAAAAAGTTGATATTGTGAAAATATTTTATGAGACGAAACTAACAAGATCCTACATGACTATATTTTGCTCAACGTATAAATCATATTATAGTGTCAAATAAGAGTGATGAATAATTTAAAAAGTCCATTGTTGTAATATTAATAGAATGGAGGAAGTATGAGATAAATTGGGACTCCCCTCTAAATTCATTAAATATAACAATGTTATTACAAATTTAGCTAACAACCCAAAACTGTATCTTCGGTTTTTTTTCCCTAGCCAATTCGATTTACAATTTTGTAAAAGGGGAGAGAAATAATTAATTGAGGTTTGGATATAAGTTAGTGTTTTTTAAGAGGCGGTATTAGCTCAATTCGATTCAATACGCTACATAATATGATTTATATCAAAATAACCAAAAAAAAATAATAATAAATTGATTAAAATAATAAATAGAAAGTAAAAGGTAAAGTTTATATTTGTATGTGTAAACCATACAAATCATATTTCTTTTCAAAAAACATATGATTCGAATATTCACGCTTTATCACTATTCTTTAAATTTATGATCTCTATTACTACGTATTAAATAATATTAGTAAATTTCGATGTTATGTACAAACTTTATCAATTATCAATGGACTTGGGGTTGTATACCATACTACAAGGTATTGTACGAAGAATTTCATAATGTAATGTAGTTAAAATGGCTTAATATAACTCTAATTTCATAATGTAATCTAGTTAAAATGGCTTAATATAACTCTAATCTACATTCTAGTGTTTGAATGCGAGCAATTGAAACAACGGCTACAAAGTACAAACCTTCAATATTTCTCGATTTGTCTTAAAGAAAAAAAAACCTTCTCAATTTTCCTGAAAGATAGGAGAGTCTTCACAACATTACATGATATCATCTGAATTTCCTTAAAATAGCATACATTCACTATCTAAGCAAAAAAATTCTAACCACAAAGATATGCTCAAAAATTGAATGGACAACCAGAAGAAGCTAAATTTTACTTGTTTCTCCTAATTTTCTTTCTTCTTTCAACAATCAATAAAGAAAACAGTTTTATTGCTATCACCAACATTAAAAATAGAAGCTTTCAAATAAAAAATAGCTAGAATAAAATTCTCCACTTTCATTCTAAAATTGTAGCACACAAAGAAGGCATAATTGTTGATTCAGTTCGAGGCGTTTGCGACGGTGGTTCGAAGCATGAGGGCACCAATTTAACCACCATAATTGGGTTATTATCAAGGGAGAAAGAAAAGCACAAACAATTTTTTTCAAAAAAAAAAAAATTGTTATAAAAAAGTGTGATAATTTTCCAAGAAAAACAAGAATAAGAAACAACTACGTTTGCATGTTCTTGCTCCCTTGAAAAATAAAAATGGCAGAAAGTACAAATGCAACAAATTCAAATTCATTGGAGTCTAGCCCCATAGTATGCTATGCACCAACAATGATAACAACAAATGGGGTGTGGCAAGGAGATAATCCCTTAGATTATTCCTTACCACTCTTCATTTTGCAATTAACGATGGTGGTCGTTACTACTCGTGTTCTTGTTTTCGTCCTCAAGCCACTTCGCCAACCCCGAGTCATCGCTGAAATCCTTGTAAGTACATTTTCATAATCGTTTCCTTTAACGACTCTTGTAGGGATCCTGTGGGAAGAAATTATTAGACAGTTTGGGATTATCATGGACTCTGTAGTTTTTTTTTTTTTCGCATTTATATAATAACACAATAAGGTTGATATATTAAGGTATTATTTGATCTATGATGGTCATTTGTGAAATGGGATATCTCCATCTTATTGATGTATAATAGAACGAGATCAATTAAATACTTGAGTAGAAAAATTACTAGGTGATTAATGTCCACTTATAATTATAACATAACATGGAAAATGTCTTCCTAATTTTCAATAGAAATTTGCATTTTTACCTGTATCGCTTGCTCTGATCTTCAAATGATGATTGCTAAAAGGAAATATAGCATGCTCTCCATTGAAAATAACCCGCGATTATTCACCCCTTCACATGTTTCACAGAAAGCAATAACATTATTTGATGCAACATAACAAAATGTATAGAATAATTGGTATAATTACATGATTATGTTTCAACTTATATAATCTCTGGTACATTATGCATAGTGTATGCCCTGTAAGGTGTAACAAAAGCATGGTTATGTATGCTAACATATGTTGCTTGCTTATGCTAATTAATCAAATAGGGAGGTGTTATACTTGGACCGTCACTCTTGGGGAGATTTGAACGCTTTGCCAACACCATATTTCCTCTAAGAAGTGTGATGGTTTTAGAAACTATGGCGAACATTGGCCTCTTGTATTTCCTATTTCTGGTTGGGGTTGAGATGGATTTAGCAGTTATCAAACGTACAGGGAGGAAGGCGATCAGCATCGCAATTGGGGGCATGATCTTACCCTTTGTCATTGGATGCACCTTCTCCCTCTTAATGCAACACAAAGATGACGGCACCCACCACGGAACTTTTGTGCTCTTCCTAGGTGTTGCTCTCGCTGTCACTGCCTTCCCTGTGCTAGCTCGAGTTCTTGCCGAGCTCAAGCTCATCAATACAGAGTTAGGGCGGATTGCCATGTCATCAGCACTAGTCAATGACATCTGTGCTTGGGTGCTCTTAGCCTTGGCCATCGCGCTAGCTGAGACCAACTCAACCAGTCTCACTTCCCTCTGGGTGATTCTATCGAGCACTGCCTTTGTGATCGTGTGCATCTTCTTGGTTAGACCCACCATCATGTGGATGATCCGCCGCACACCTGAGGGTGAACCGTTCAGTGATTTTTACATATGCCTTATCCTGACAGGGGTTATGATCTCAGGGTTCATCACTGATGCTATAGGAACACATTCTGTATTTGGGGCCTTTGTCTTCGGCCTTATCATCCCAAATGGACCTTTGGGAGTAACCCTCATAGAAAAGCTCGAAGATTTTGTATCAGGCCTTCTACTTCCTCTGTTTTTTGCAATCAGTGGTCTTAAGACTGACATTGGTCAAGTTGGCGGCCTCAAAGTCTGGGGCAATCTCATGGCTGTCATTGTACTGGCTTGTTCTGGCAAGGTTGCTGGCACTGCTGCTGTCGCCTACTACTACAACATGCCAATCCGTGAAGGAATCACCCTTGGTTTGCTCATGAACACCAAGGGTCTAGTTGAAATGATTGTCCTAAATGTGGGCAAGGACCAAAAGGTCAGAAAGCCATTAGATTCGTATATTTCCTCATTTCATTTCATTTCTATATTTCCTCATTTCATTTCTATCAAACAGCACAGATATGCAGCAAACAGATATGAATGACAATATTGAAAATACTGGTATAATTAACAAAGATAAAAATAAACTTTACCAGTTGATTAGTCTTGCACTTCTGAGATTTTAATTATGTTGTCACAGGTATTAGACGATGCATCATTTTCAATCATGGTGATATCTGCATTGATAATGACTGGTGTGATTGCTCCCCTGGTCACGGCAATTTACCGGCCAGCAAGAAGATCTGTGGCATATAAGAGAAGAACCATACAGAAATCAAAACCAGATGCAGAACTGAAAGTATTGACTTGCATCCACACCCCAAGGAATGTCCCGACTATAATAAATCTCCTGGAAGCCAGCAACCCGTCAAGAAAATCTCCAATATGTGTTTATGTGCTACATCTAGTAGAGTTGACAGGACGAGCATCAGCAATGCTCATAGTCCACAACACCAGAAAGTCAGGTCGGCCTGCTCTCAACAGAACACAAGCTCAGTCAGACCATATCATCAATGCCTTTGAAAATTACGAGCAGCATGCTCAAGCTGGATCAGTCTCAGTCCAGCCCCTGACAGCCATTTCCCCTTATAACTCAATGCATGAAGATATTTGTCACTTAGCACAGGAAAAGCGAGTGGCATTTATCATCATCCCCTTCCATAAGCAACAAACAGTGGATGGGGGCATGGAATCAACAAATCCAGCCTTCCGAATGATAAATCAGAATCTATTAGCCAATGCCCCTTGCTCAGTTGGAATCCTTGTCGATAGAGGGCTAAGTGGGTCAACCCGTTTGGCTGCAAACCAGGTGTCACACAACATAGCAGTGCTCTTCTTTGGTGGGCCTGATGATAGGGAGGCACTTGCATATGCATTGAGAATGTCAGAACACCCAAGCATCACAGTAACTGTAATGCGGTTCATACCAGGTGACGATGCTTCTAGAACAACATCTGTGGAGCCAAGTCGTGAGCCTGGGGATCCTAGAGTGCTAACTGTGATAACTGATGCTGAACAAGAGAAACAAATGGATGAAGAGTTCATCAACGACTTCAAAACGAAGACCGCCAACAGCGACTCAATCACATACATGGAGAGGGTTGTAGATAATGGGGAGGAAACAGTGGCTTCCATAAGAGCAATTGAAAGTGTTCACGATCTTTACATAGTGGGAAGAGGACAAGGCATGATATCACCACTAACAGCAGGTCTAACAGACTGGAGTGAGTGCCCTGAACTTGGAGCAATAGGTGACATGTTGGCATCATCAGATTTTGCAGCAACAAGTTCTGTTCTAGTGGTGCAACAATATGTTGGTTTAGGGCCACAACATGAATCTCCACCAACTCCTGATAGCCCTACTGCTCAAGCTGATCTTGATGAGCAATTAAATGCAGGAGTGCATCAGACGAACCAAAGACAACCACCAGCAAAGGGTCAGAATGCCTTCAATCTCTAAAAATTAGCCGTAACCTAGTGATACCAAACAATGCTGACGCTGCATTATCATCTGATAAGAAGTAATGAGAACAATTTATTGCGGCATTTTCTAGCAGAAATAGGAACCCCCCCCCCCCCGAACCCATATGCAACCTTTATTCTTCTTTTTTTTTTAAAAAAGTTAGTTTTCATGATTTCATCTCCTGTTTACACCTCCCTATTTATTCAAATCATCTTCGCCAAATACTGACGCTCTAACTACCCCTACACCTATATGGCTATACCACTAAATCTATATTCAAGTTGTGTATATAACTAATTATTAAAAGAGCCCACTTGTATAGTCACTTAGTAATCACTTGGGAGGGGGGTTTGGACTTTTAAGTATAATTTTTATATTTATCATATATGGGCCAATGGTTGTTTCATAGTACTTGCATTAAGTACCATATCATCTGAACCTGGCACCCGACCCCCCTGATTGAAACTTAATATCTCAGAATATAGATGATGCATTTTCCATCCACAGAAGCCTCACATGATATCCATACATCTGAAGTGACAATTATGCAGATAACAATCTATTTCTGTTTGTTCCACCATCCTCTCCTTCACCAGGGCTTAACTTTACCATTCATCCTAGTTCCTTTAATAAGTGTATCATATATAAAGCAAGAAAGCCATTCTACAAAAGACAAATTAATATACCATGAATGCTGAGGCTGCTGTTTGATTTATGTTTTTTAGAGGTTAAACAAATAACAGATCAGTAGGCGGACATGAATTAAAAGCAAATCACAAACTCACTCCAAACAATTGTGATTGAATTGTCACCTCAAAAATATAATGTCACCTCAAATGAGTAATTACACCAGTGATAAATGACAGGTTGGATTTGTGCCTTATTGTAAATTTGTAGCAACTTGGATAAGCGTGGAATTATTAAATAGAATTCGTTGTACTTCTTTTATGTCACATTAATATCTTGATATGGCTTCTTTGAATTTCCAATAACAATTATCTCAAAAGGCCATTTACCTACTACCCCGGTTTTCCTGGTCTACTCACTGTAGCAACAGAAACTAAGGAGAGCTCAAAAGGGGGACAACTCTTGTGGCTACTTTTGCTTTTTAGAGAGAGATTTGTTAAAGATAATTGGTCACAAAAAAAGTGGGATGGGAGATGATATAAAATGAATAAAAGGTTGACGTAAAGGGATTAGAGTAAAAGTGAGTAGAACTTAGGAAAACGGAGGGAGTATATGCTTTTGTGCAATGTATTTTCTTAAAACATACTACCTCCGTTTTTTATTAGTTGACACGTTTTGACTTTAGCACTATTCACACACTTCCCTTTGACCAGGGTTTGTGATTTATACGTAATGAAGAATATAGTCATGTGGGGTCTTGTTAGATTCGTCACGATATATATTTTTTCAGTATCAACTTTTTATAATTTTTGTTTATCGGTAATTAAAGATATTAACGGTTGAATTTGTGCATTGGCAAACGTGACTAAAGAAACGTGTCAACTAAAAAGAATTGGAGGAAGTATAAAAAAAGATATGCCAAGGGTGGATCTAGCGTCCACATATTGACATACATTGAATATTTATCATACAGAATAAATGATTAATTGGTACTCTCTTTGTTTTAGAATAATTGACACACTCCCTTGGGCACATAGTTAAAGAAAATAATAAGTAGGAACCATAGAATGAGTTGTTTTATGCAAAGTAAAGTTGGAGGATTTAGTTTATATTATTAAAAAGGGGGATATGTGAAAGTAAGAAACATTAGAGGGCCATTGTAAGTATGGTTAATATAATTTAATAATAGTGAGCCCTTGCCATTTATGGTAGAGTACTAGCAGGTCAATTATTCTGAAAAGGCTAAAATAGGGAAGTGTGTCAATTTTTCCGAAACGGAGGGAGTATACATAAGTCTTTTTGCAAAGTTGTACAAGATACAGAATATAAAAACCATATGCTCTAGAAAAATATCCTCATGAACTAATAGCAAAATACTGAAAGGTAAGATGTGCACTAGTCACCACACTATACAGCTCAAATCGAAAGGTACATGAACTTTACATGCAAGATCACAAGCATCTCAACTGCAAAATACTTTCTAAGAGGTAATCTACATCCTCTATCATGACTCTTTGCTCTATAGAATGGTGTGAAACTAATAATTCCGTGAATGCATTGGGAAGGTTGTATAACAAGTACAGATATTACCAAAATTACCCCCCTAGAACAAAATACAGTAAATGAAGGACAAAATCTGATCACCTAATGTGCAATTATGATATCACAGAAAATGTGCAATGGAAGTAACTTTGACAAGAATTGGAACACATACCTAGATAGACATCAAGCTCAAGCATTCCCAAAACCAGACTTCCTTTACATGCTTCTCAATATGAGCTGACTGTTTAAAGGGTAACCATTTTCTATAAAAAAGCCTCCTCATTTCCATGAACCAAATTCAATAGACTGAAGTGATATTTCACCTAGATACAGGTCTTTCAGATGCTGCTTACACAACCCAATACGCCTTTTATTCATACTGGGGTGAATACAAGTTGAAAATCCTGTATTCCAACCAGGAAATTTCTGCCTTTCCATCACATGAAGAATGTAAACACATGGTGCTGCAGCTGAGCAACCCATAACAAAACAGTTACATGGCCTGGACAGGCTCACCATCCTGGCAAGAGACAGTTGGCACAACCCACTGTAAGAAGTTCCGTACATAAATGCCTTATCATGATCAAGAGTACAAGAATTCAATGTATCTTCACATATTCCATACTCTCCGTCCTGGCAAAGTGAGATACTGCTCAGCTGAGACTCAAAACTTTTTTCTATCTCAGACTCATGAATTCTATATTTTAGCGCCAGTGTCCGGATGCAAGACTTCCTAACTTGGTCTGAAACGATAATCTTTAACTCACCAAAGTTTTCACTCACTATACCATCTCAGCCATCTATGTACAATACCAGTAAACCAATCAATTATTTGGCTGCTATCCTGTAAAATGAGAACGCGAACTGCACGGGCATATCCTTCATCATTGATCAGTCCATAGCGTAACAAACGTTTTTCAATGATATTGACAGGAGCTATAACCTTTGTGATGGTCTCACATCTTGGAGATAACCCAGAACTTGGCAAAAGGGAAAGAAGAGTTTCGGTTTCAGAAGAATTGTATTTTTCAACAAGTCTCTGAAACTCATAAAATGACTCCTGCAGAGATGGTGGAAGTGCAGGTTCAGCAATGCACTTGGACAAGATATATTCTTCACTGGTTGCGGCATTTGTCTTTACATCTTGCATCCAAATCTTTAATAACTGCTTATACCAGTGATCAGTTTCCATGCCCGACTTACGGTAGCAGGATATTTTGCTCAAAAGAGAGTTACTATCAGAAAGATGCCTTATCTCTGACTCCTTGGCCTTTCTCAAACCATGACCCAAACACTTCTTACCTATTCTCACTGTCCCTGCATCCCAAACCTCCCGTTTCTGCAAAGCAAATAATTTCACCTTTTCCTTCAATTTGTGAACTGCTCTTACTGCTGGACTGTCTTTAATGGTTCTAAGAACTAATGCGCCAGCAAAACGAACACCTTGGCTGTAATTACATGGTACAATCTCCATATTGCTGTTAACATCTAAATGAAGACAATTCTGGAAGTAATTCCGAACCTCAGACTTTAATAAAATTGCAGCCTCTTTGGAGCCAGATACAGCAAAAAATATTTCATCCATGAAGCGACAAGAATAGACTCTAAGACCAGAATTCTTATGACCTTTGGAGTTGTCAGCACTGCATTTTATTTGTCTCCTAAACCAGCTTCTCAACTTTGACTGAGGTTGTTTTTCATCAAGTTCGGAACTGGATTCAAGAGCCTCGTATCGCATCGACATTCTGTGGAATTCATCATCAAAGAGATCAAGGTAAATATTCATCAATATAGGGGATAGGGTCCCCTCTTGAGGCAGGCCCTGACCTTTCGGAAAGCCTCCAAATTCTACATTGAGTACCTGAGCAACAAACATGCTTCGGATCATCTCACATAAAGGGTGGTCCTCAACCTTATCCTCTATGATCGAGATTAGTTTAGCAAGTACTACAGAATCTAACCTCTTGCTTACTAGCACGGTGAACCACCAATCAGGATCAGAGATCTTGCAAATGTACTTAAAAGCTGATAAATGCCCTCTTCCAGTTCGACCACCATGAGAAATCTTCGAGAAATGAGGCTTATAAACAACTTCCAAAACTATTCTTAATGCTTCTTGAACTACCTTCAGTTTCAAATTAGGAAGGACAAGGACTTCTTTTCTACTACTCCCCTTCGTTGAGATAGTAAACGTATTTGCTTCCACATCAAACCTTTCACTCGCAAGCTCTTCCGCCAAAGACTCAAAACAAATGCCCGAATCCTCCAATGTCGTGACATCAATATTCGAGCTCACTCTAATACAATTGTAAGCATCCAAAAGGGTCCTAGGATCAGCAACAACTTTCATAAAAAGATCATAAAACCTTCCATTCATATACTGCTGCTTCACTCTCTTCTTTACACGCGTTTCGGACATCCGTTTCAACCTAACTCTGCCATTTTTTTGCCTATCAGCGTCTTCAACATCATCAGAAGGTGAAGACTCAACAACTACAGAAGCTAAACTCTTTGCTAAACCCAATTTATCATTTTTGGCCTCTTGAAGGGTTGATAAATATGCTTGATTTCTACCCAGATTAATTCCTGACCCAATCAAACAAAAATAGACCCATATGATGCAAATTTCACTAAAATTAAATGTACTACTATGTTTGAAACAGTTATTAAAAATCAACAATAGGTATTATTCAGCAACAAAATAATACGAAGTATGATTAATAATATATGTAAATGCTTAAAAAATACTTACTTGGAGAAACATGCAATTGATTATTGATTGCAGAAGCTTTTGCGGTAGAAAATTCATGAAACCCAAGAAAGAAAAACCCTTTTTTGCTGAAATTTGAGAGCCTCAGGAACCACATCAGTCAAAAAAATTCACAGAAAAAAAGGAATTTATTGCATTGTAATTGGAGGGAGATGGTGGTTAACGTTGGTAAGGATGGTGGTGAAGTAGGGACTAGGGAGAGATAGAAAGAGAGAGAGGACTCGGGGCCTCAGGGGGAGTTTGAGAGGGGTTCAACGGTTCGAGTAGGAAGAAAGTAGTAGGGAGTCTAGGGACTACAATGTGGGTAGGGATGTCAATGGGGCGGGGCGGGGCGGATGTTGGCCTTCCCATCCCCATCTAAAATTTTCATATTCATCCCCATCCCCATCTCCGCGACGGGTCTAAAATTCATCCCCATCCCTGCCCAGGCGGGTACAATTCCAAAATTATCCCCGCCCCAACCCCCACTTGGATATCCACCCCCACCAAATCTCCGCCTAATCCCCGCCTCCAAAATACATAATCATTTATAATTAATTAAGATTGCAAAAAGAAAATAATTATTGTTAATATTACGTATTTTTTTTGTTTATAATATAAGTGTACAAAGTATTATATTTACTATTTTATTTTACACAATTTTTTTAATAAAATAGTATGAAAGTATATAATTCTATTTTTAAAAATATATGGATGTGGAGATGGGGCGAGTACGAAGTGGGGCGGGGTGGGGATGGGGCGGGTACAACCTAAAATCCACCCCCGCCCCATCACCCATGGCGGGTATGGTTTTTATCCCCATCCCCGCCCCATCACCCGCCAAACCAAGACCCATCCCCGCCCCAACGGGGCGGGTCTCCTATTTGACCCGCCCCACTGACATCCTTAAATGTGGGTGCTAAATTGCTAATGTGCTATGCCTGTATTCTACTAAAATACACGCGATACATTATTTAAATTTTAGAAACACTTTATTTTGATTACAAGTCATAAGCCGATAACTAACTAATTAATAATTCGAATAGCGGATTTGGATCTAAACATACCTGATATAATGATTGTTTAAAAAAAAACTCGTTCATCAGCCTTTCATTAATACCTTCACGATCTCAGTCAAGTTATGTCTTACCTGATTATATGTTCAAGATTTATGAAAGGCTAAAGCAGCAAGTAGGTGAATTGAATATTGAATGACTTTCTCTGCTATAAAATCCTCCACTTGCTCAAGTAATGCATTTGGGCAAATAATTCATCACCATATCGCTCAAAAAAAAAAGGGGGGTTGGTTCTGTTGTTTTGTTTGGTTAGATTAATCAACTTATTTGGAATTGAGAATTTGATGTTGTTGTTTGGTTTGGTTAAAATAATTAATTGGTTAGAAATTTGACTAATTGATTGTTAAA